TTAAGTGTAAAAACTAAACTAAACTAACTAAACTCTTAAAATTTAAATATTTTATTATAATTTAGTGTTTTTTTTCCTAAATCAATAATAAAGGCCGATTTCAAGAACTGTTTACATTATAACGTATCTAGGTTTTAATTAGAGCTTAACTTTAATGCACATGCCTCCATGCACTTAAATATAAATTTATTACAACTATTAATTACTTAGTAATAATTATCAATTTACCAGTGACAAAAATTTCTGCTACTCGTAAAATATACTACATATGGTTACTTCGTTGGTGTAGTATGCTACCTATCACTATACTTACAACCTATACACTTTACGAGCGTTTACCGTATTTTATCTACAGATTATTGATTACTAACAATTTATTAAACTAAAATGTACTCAATGAATTCCTGACAACCATCAAGTATTTTAATATGACATAAATTGTTATTTTGTTTTTACGTCATCCCAGAAAACTTCAAATTAATTGTCGTATTGCGTTTTAATGACCACCTCCATTCATATTTTATTTAACGGCCTAACAAATCTTTTGACTAACACACCGTAGTGCAAGGACAAAACATAGACCGAGATAATATTATACCAGACTTAAAAGTAAGTTATCGCGGATATATTTTACAAGTTATCACGATCGCTAAATAACATAGACATTATAATATAAGATAKATAGCTATTATAGTACCTATTGTATTACCGTTATAATATGTTGTATATCTTAATAATTCAATTCACAGCTACATAACCATACAAAAATGAAATGAAAATATGTATGTCATATTTTCTGGTAGATATCATACTACATGAGCATCTAATTTCTGAATAAACAATATACCCTAACAATCAGGCACCAACCAACCGGCTGATTTTCAAATCAGACAGCGGTAAACACCCACATCACCTCCAACCACAATATGACGCTTCTGACAATATTACAATATTTTCCTCTATCAGTACTTCTGTAATACTATTAAAAAGTATATCTTACAGATGCTTTGACTACTGATGTCATACAATTGTTCGGTTTGGTATGTTGAGCAATGTCAATTTTTCGATATTCCAGGTTTTCAATTTCGAAATTATTAGTTTCAGCCAATTTGAGTAACTCAGCCACAGTTTGTTTATATTGTGCCAACATTTCTGTTAACTGTTCTTGTATCTTACATACTTCCATTTCTTTTGATTGTGTAGCTCCACAGTACTATACATTTCAAAGTTAACTATTTATAATATTAAGTTATAATCAAAATATAAACGAGTACACACAGTTTGCGAATTAGTTAARTCATTCTGCAATTGCATTATTCTTTTTGCAATATTTACGGCTTTTTTATCACCACATCGAATTAATTCCAAGTAACCGGCATTCTCTTCAAAATTTGTAGACATTATTTCCAACTCATCTTTGCTATCCTATACAATTATATCAAATTTCATAATTAGTTCTACAATATACGATTTAAAAATAATATATTCTATACCGTCATTTTCTTTATAATATTTTGGTATTAAACTTATTTTTTGCTTAATCTATATGTAAAAAAAAGTATTTATGTTTTATATAAATAAACAATTCAATAACATTTTTTAACCGTTAMATAAATCAGCCAACTACTTAATACAATTTTCAGTCAATAAAAAATAGCTTTAACATAGAATAATAATATTGCATAGAAACTGTATGGGCCTGAAGCATGTGATAATATTAATACACATATCATGGCACTCTTTATCAATCAATCAATAGACCTGTTTTTTTAATAGAAGAATATCAAGTTTGGCGTTATATTCTTCGATAATTTATCTACTACTTATAACTTATCAGAAAATCGATCTTTACCTTTACAAGATTTGTATAAGTATTAAACCTTTTCAAAAGTTCTAAAAAAATGTATAAACACAGTTTTTTTAAATAGTTGGAAAAACTATACGTTAAATAACCAATAATAAAAATTTTCGCTATATTTTATAATTAAAAAATACTATTCGTGGAAACATGAAACCTTAAAGTAGGTAGGTAAATTATTGTATTTTATACATTTAGTGACATTTTCAAATKCAATTTTTTCGATGAAAATGAATCTATCCCAACATAGTACTAATGCCTATTAAATAGTTAAATAATTATTTGAATCACAATAATAACATAAAATATGCCAACTATATTATAGGCTGACAGGTGGTGTTTGCTCAGAATTGTTTTTCGTGTACAAAGATGCCATATCATTGAATTTCAATATTTAACACATCCATTATTGTGACTTCCTATATACCTGAGTTAAAGAGTATGGCGTTGCCCACTTACTTGTTTTTTTTTAAATTTATATTAGCTATTAATTAGTTATATACAATTATTATAACACGAAYTTTGCTATTTTTTACACTTTTTTATCATTGTGTTATTTAGAGTTAAGGAATCTTCAATTTGGTTTGACTTGTCCGTAACTAAGATGAGAGATTCAAGCATATAATAATAAGCGTAGATATCTA